TGGCGCAGGTCCGGCTTGCAGGGATGAGCCAGTCCCCGACAGGACTGTGCCTTGCCTTCGGAGGATCACTTCATTAGGAGCTATCTCATTAGTAGCTTTTCCCCCTTTCTGCCCCCCTCTGTGCCCAGGCACAGCAGCAGCAGGGTGCCTGCTAGAGCATCTGTTGACCCTTGTCCCTCAGCGGGCGCCGGCGCCAGCTCCACGGCACGGGCTGCAGCGGCAGAGCTCGCTGCTGGCCTGGCGAGCCAGATGGCTCTGGCAGCATCTACAGGAGCCCATGGGCTCGGTAGGGATCCCTCTGGCCGGTGCCAGGCCCGCTCGAGGGCACGGTGGAGTGCTGCGCGTTGGGGCTGGGTGGGAGAAGGGACTTGTCCCTGGTGAGGAGGACAACACAGTCTTGGCACCCGTCTAAAAAAATGGGGGGGCCCCCGCAGCGGCCTGGCTCCCACCTGCCACTCACTGCTCGTGTGTCTCGGTTCTCCGCAGGTGCCGGTGAGTCTGGGAAGAGCACCATCGTCAAACAGATGAAGTGAGTAAGCCTGGGCTCTCCCGCCCCTTGGCACCCTCCCTCCTGCCGAGTTCTCTAGAGGGGTTGGGGACACTCTAGGGTGACAGGAAAACTGGGCTTGGCTGCCACCTCATAGAGATACGAGGGAAAACGCTTATAGGAAAAGGCTGGTGCTGCCGGCATGATGTCAGAAGCATGTCCACAGCAGGAGGTGCCACAGGCTTTCCCAAGGACCCAAACAGGCAGGTACATTGAGCTGCCAGGACACCCTATCGCCTTGGCGCATCCGTATGGAGAGGTGGCCATGTCCCCCCAGATGATCCCTGCGGAGGGCTGGCCGCCTCGGGGCTGGCTGAGCTTGGGGAGGCCAAGGTTGCAGCCACTTGGCTCTGGGGGCAGAGGCAGGCTTGGATCACCCCCCTGGGCCAATCCAGTTTGGCAGCTCTTCAGTTTCGGCTAAGCTTCCGCTAGACCTTGCTTGTGCAAGGGGTATTTCCAAACACGTTGCAGTCACCCGTGGCCAGACAGCATCTGTGGTGGGGGCACCTTTTGGCAGAGCTGCTGTCATTCCTTGCCAGGGCAGCCACCCTTGATACCAGTCTCGTTGTGGCTTGCAGTAATGAACTCCTGAGACAGGGTCGCTGGGAGCAAACGAGATGGCCGAGCCATCCCCTTGGAGAGAACCTAAACCTCAAAATCTCTGTTACTTCTGGGCAAGATGTCCTCAAGTAGCCCTACCGCCTAGCTATAGAGGCTGTATTAATGCAGGCTGGGCTGCTTGGGCAAACAGGCCTTTCCAGGCAGCCGAGGACAAACTGTCGTTCAATGCAAGCCATGAAATATTCAGGCGCGGAAGGTGACCTCAGAGGCTCCGATGCCTGTGGTTACAGCGGCCGCAGAGAACTGCTGTGAAAATAAATACCTTGTGCTCCGAGACAGGGCAGGAGGGTCAGGCCAGACAGGGCCTGGACAGGGCCACCTGGTACCGGAGCATGGCTCCAGCTTTCTGGGGGCATTTGAACCCCATACCTGCGAGGTTGATCTGACCCAGGCCACCCTGATGAGCTTTTTGGGTGTGTTTTTGGGTGTGTTGTTGACTTCTTGCTCTCCCTTGACCCTGGATTGCCCAGAGCCTGCTGTACCAGCACAGTTAGTGGGGATGGGATGTCCTGGAGAGACCCTCATGCTCTCTGCTAGCTCCAAGACCAGAGTTTTCCAAGCCCTTTTGAGTCCCACTTGGCCCTTGGGCAGGCCCAGCTGATGGTCACAAGGTGGTTTCCATCCATCCATCCATCCCTGGCACATATGGAGCTGCAGGATCACTGTCCTTTCCTTCAGGCTCCGGCTGAGGAGGTAGCAGCTGGGGATATGCCAGTGTCTAGCACGGCATCTTCCTCCCCACAACAGAGGAGGAAGATGCTCCTTACCACCTTTTCCTACCGAGGTTTACAGCTTCTTGCTGCTCCCAGTTCTTTGCCTTCCCTAAAGCAAATTCCTTTAATGGGAAGGACTCAAACCCATAGCCCTAGGCAGTGACAGGCCACACAAGCCCCTGAAATAGCAGCCAACTCCTGTATTAGTGCTCCACGGAGCAGATCCGTGCCCTTCTGACTGCGGTCTGACACAATGCCCGCAGCCAGCGTCACTCTGGCTAAGGATGCCCAGGCTTGGGAAAGCTGCTGCCTGGTGCATGCCACCAAGCAGAGCATGGCTCTCTGGTAATGCCACTGCCAGCAAAGGGAAGAAGGCAAAGGGGTCAAGGTGCCTGGTGGGGTGGTGACCTTGCGTGTGTGTGTCCCTTGCCCCCAGGATTATCCATGAAGACGGCTACTCGGAAGAGGAGTGCCGGCAGTACAAAGCTGTGGTCTACAGCAATACCATCCAGTCCATCATGGCCATCATCAAGGCCATGGGGAACCTGCAAATTGACTTTGGTGACTCCTCCAGAGCGGTGAGTGCCTTGGTACCTTCCCAGGAGGGAGAAGAACGTTGGGTCCTAGGTTTTGGCAGGTGATCTTTGCTGTGTTTGACTTGAGATTGCTGTTCCTAGGAACAGAGTGAATCCCTGGGTTTTGTGGTCCTAGGATGTATGGTGTGCTTCGGGCAGCTGTGAAGGGCTTCTTATTTTTCCCCGCAGGACGATGCTCGCCAGTTGTTCGCGCTCTCCTGCACCGCAGAGGAGCAGGGCATCATGCCAGAGGACCTTGCCAACGTGATCCGGAGGCTGTGGGCTGACAACGGCGTCCAGGCCTGCTTTAACCGCTCCCGAGAATATCAGCTGAATGACTCTGCTGCCTAGTGAGTGTCTCCCCTTGCAATCAGGGGTCTCTCCAGAGTCTCTGTGCTTTGACAAATCCATGGATGGCAGCCCCAAAGGCTTCCTGGGGACCTTGCCAGAGAGGAGTCTCATTTGGCTTGTTTTGGTAGCTAAAAGCAGAGATTTTGGGGGCTGCTGCTGTTTTTTCTGTTCCCATTTTCAGCCAAGCAGAGGCCAGTGAGAGAGAGAGGGAGAGCCCTGTGGCCCTAGAAAGGAGATTGTGCCTAGGGATGGTGCTGTTCCCTTTCCCCATTAGGAATATTGCTTCGTTAGATGATTTTACCTCCCTGGGAGGCCAAAGCAGGGTGAAAGCATGTGGTTGAAAAGGCGCTTCCTGCTCCCCTGGGTGTTTTATCACCGTCACCCTGCCCTGCTGCCCCCACAGAAGAATTCCAGCCCCTCTGCCACTTCCCATTCCATGTCTCCCCTGGCGCCTCCAGGCCCAGCGCCCTTGCGGCCTTTCCAGCTGACTGTCTTGCTTTCCCACCCACACACAGGTTCCCTGTTGCAGGGGCAGTGCAGGCCACCGGAGTGGGGCATCGTGGACCCCTTTTTTCTTCCCCTTTCTGTTCCCGGGGGCTCGCAATGCGTGAGCGGGGCCGGTGCGCGGGGCAGCGGGACTGTGCGTCAGTGTCGCCGACCGCCCGCTCTTTCACCCGCAGCTCCAGCGCCTTTGGGTGCATTGACAAGGCAATCCCAGCCCGCAGCGGGCGCCGGCGCGCTCGCCTTTGTGTGCATGGCTCCTGAGACGCTTCCTTCCCCTCCCGCTTCCGTAGTCTCCCGCAGGAAGGGAGGAGACAGGACATCGTCGGACCTGTTCTTAGTGGGCCCTCCTACCTTCCCATGCAGAGCGTTGCCCTTGGGGAGACATTGCCCTTGTGCGCCACAGGACGCGGGAGGGGTCAGGGTCCGCATCCCGGCACCCCAGTGAGATTCCTTTTTTCTTTTCTTTTCTTTTCTTTTCTTTTCTTTTCTTTTCTTTTCTTTTCTTTTCTTTTCTTTTCTTTTCTTTTCTTTTCTTTTCTTTTCTTTTCTTTTCTTTTCTTTTCTTTTCTTTTCTTTTCTTTTCTTTTCTTTTCTTTTCTTTTCTTTTCTTTTCTTTTCTTTTCTTTTCTTTTCTTTTCTTTTCTTTTCTTTTCTTTTCTTTTCTTTTCTTTTCTTTTCTTTTCTTTTCTTTTCTTTTCTTTTCTTTTCTTTTCTTTTCTTTTCTTTTCTTTTCTTTTCTTTTCTTTTCTTTTCTTTTCTTTTCTTTTCTTTTCTTTTCTTTTCTTTTCTTTTCTTTTCTTTTCTTTTCTTTTCTTTTCTTTTCTTTTCTTTTCTTTTCTTTTCTTTTCTTTTCTTTTCTTTTCTTTTCTTTTCTTTTCTTTTCTTTTCTTTTCTTTTCTTTTCTTTTCTTTTCTTTTCTTTTCTTTTCTTTTCTTTTCTTTTCTTTTCTTTTCTTTTCTTTTCTTTTCTTTTCTTTTATTTTTATTTTTAAATTTTATTAAGGGAAATTACCCTGGCCGGGTCAGACAGCCGAGCGGGGCCGGGGAGGGGGTGGAGGCACGGGCTGGTGTCGCAGGCCAGGCAGTCGCAAGCCGAGCAGCCGCTGTGACTTCCCTTTGCTCACTTGGACTGAGCCAGAACAGAGATGGCAAGGCGGATGTTTCGGGAGCCGTTTCCTCCTCCTGCAGGGGTGCTGGGGCCCGAGGACAGCGCTGTCGGGCAGCACGCGGGACGTCCCTAGCCTTGCTACCGCCCCACATGTTTGGTCCTTCCACAGGGCGGCTGGCCCCTCTTCTGAAGGGGGACTTGAAGGTCTCCTGCCCAGCCTCGTTCTCGTCCCTGTGTGGGTTGTGGCTGCAGCTGCTGCCAGATGTGCCAGGGCTGTTCCTGCTCTGGATGCCAGTGTGGTTGAGAAAGCAGAGCAGCCCCTCGGGAAAGCCAGACTACAAGAGCGTCTCCCTGACCTGGCACATGGCCATGTCCTTGCTTTTCCAGGGAAAACATCCCACAGCGTTTCCCGTTGAGACCTTAATTCTCCCGTTTCCTCCCCTCTGCACTGTAGCCTGACTCTGTCTCAAAAGGGTTTTGCTGCAAAGGGAAGAAGGAAAAAGGGAGGAGACTTAACCACTAAAGTCCTAATAAATGGTTTGAGATGCATGTGGCGTTAGCAAGGGCCTTTCAGAGAGAGGGTTGCAGTTATGTATGGACAGGGAGGAGAAGCTGAGCTTTGAGGGATCCTGCTGCCAGCTGTGCCTTTGAGTATAAAACAAAATCCAAGGCAGCAGGGAGCCTTGCCATGTGCTCTGTAGTGTACCTGAGGCTGCCCTGTGGGATCCAGCTTGTGGTGACAAGCTCCATGTATGGCTCGTTTGCATCGGCTCCCTCATTTGTGCAGCAGGTTTGGAGCTGCACATGGCAAAAGTAAGAGCAGACAAGTAGGCAGCATCGGCTGCTTGTGGAGTGGAGCCACAGTGATGTAGGTGCCCACTCTGGCTGTTGGATTGACTTTGGGCAAGAGAAGGTCCTCAGGTCCTCCTGAGCCACTACTGCTTATCCAGTTGCACGATGCAAGTGATTCGTGAGGACTTGCTACTTTACTACGCATCAGCGGGGAACTTCAGTCGCCATCACACCTAGCCCATAACCGTACAGCCTTCCTCCCCTGGTGCAACCAGCAAGGTTTGGGGCTTGGGCTGCCATGCGCCAGGGCCTCGTCACGTCCCATTGCCTGGGTCATGGTTCAACTGGCAAATGTGGCAGAAGACACATTTGAGCTGCTTGCTGTGTGTCAGAAGAGTGTTCCCCTTCGCCACTTTGAGGCGGAGGGAAGGAGTTTTGTTTTTAAACCAACATCTGTGGCCTCCATCTACAGCTGGAGGAACCTTGGGGCAATGAGGTGGCTTTTTGGGAGGCAGCTGGATATATCTGGCAAGTTGTTTCTGGTTCCTGGTTGCTAGGGTTTGGGGAGGTGGCAGCGGGGGAAGATAATGGTTTTGTCCTGCCTTTAAATCAGCTTTTTTCCAGTGTTGGGCACCCTCCGCCCTGGGGCAGACGCTCTGCTTGCTAGCAAGTAGACCCAGACCAGGCTCCTACCCCAGCAGGCATCATCTTCTGCTGCTAGGTCTTTTCTCAATGGCTCTCCATTCCTCCAGGAAAGGGGTCAGGACATTGCTGAATCTGCTGCATGACCTGCAGTCATCTGTATCTCCAGCGATGCTGTCGTATAAGCGTCCTGGCATGCCGGGATGCTCTCATGACTGGAAGCTCCACGGTCAGCAGCTTTCTCTGGCATGGACTTGTGGGCCCCTGCATTGCTGCAACATCTTGACTCCTCAAATGAGGATCGTCCTCACTGCAAAGATCAGTTCCGTGCTCTCTGTGCTGGGTGCAGGTTGGTCTGTGCTAGTGGATCCTTGAGAGGAGGCATATGGAGCTGAAGTTCTTGCTGGCTGAGGCTGCCTGCATTGTTTTATTTTATTTATTTATTTATTTATTTTCCTCATAGTGAGTATTTAAACGAGAAGGCATTTGGCCATCATAAGATGTAGTTCGGCCACAGGGAAAGTCCTGACAGCTGAGGATGGGGCTCTCCAGTCTTGTCATGGCCATCATATCACTTGCCCAAGTGAGTTCTCAACCTCGAGCTTTTGCACCAAGGGATGTGGTGGGAGGCAGACATGTGCATGGATTTTGGCTCACCAGCTTCAGGTTTCCACTCAGGTGTGTGTCATCCCCCTGGCTCAGCTGCATGTGAGTACTGGGACAGCCCATGTCCTCTCCAGGGTGCAGCAGGGCTGGTGCACTGCCTGTGCTCCTGCCCCTCTACCTGCTCTCTCGGTGACCCCTGCAAGGTCTCTCACCTCAGCCCAGTTGCCGTGAGCACATTCAAAGGGAACGAGCAGCTTGAGTTCGCTGGGGTCCAGCGGGAAGGGTAGAGGTAGCTTTTGCTGTACTTGTGCCCTACCATTCATGTTGGACAAGATCTCTAGTTATCTGAGGACTCCTGTCCAAGAGGATATAGCCATTCCAGCCATCTCTTGCGTCCTCAGAAAGGATGCAGAAGGATGACAGTTGGACCTGCTTCTATGGATCTTTCATCCATGCTTCTTTGACTGCTTGGAGTCTGACCCGCCAGTCACTCCCCAAGAAGAGGCACAAGCAGGAAGCTTTTAATAGCTTGTCCGTCTGTGAGATCATGCTGCAAAACACAGCTGTTGGGAGCCGAGGTTGGAAATAGCAGCTGGTCAGGCAGAAAAGAAGATAAACTCCCAGAGGAGCGTGTTCCAGCCAGCACAGGAATACCTCAAGGCATTAAAAATGCAGAGTGGGTTTGTGGGCCATGAATGAGGCTCTTTGTGCCTTGAGGCTGATGTTTGCAGCAGGGCAACTTTGTTCTTCAGCCTATCAGTGGAGCGAAAGCAGGTTTGTCAGGCCTCATCACAACCATGTGCTCCATGGGATGCTGCAGCCTTGCTGAACTCTGCCGCTATTTTGCTTGAGGTAGTCACCTGCCCCTGCTTCAGTTTCCCTAACTGTAAGAGGGAGGAAGACCTGATCTCCATGCCAGGATGTCCCATAATTGCACAGTGGAAACCTCTCTGTGGAACCTGTGCCAGTGTTCAGTCATCCTCACAGTCAAGAAGATTTATCCTCACACTGATGAATATGTTGAACAGGACCCAGTATGGGCTCTTGGGAGACATCTCTATCTCTTGTCCTGCAACTCGACCGTGTGTCCAGTCTAAGCTCTTCCTTTCAGCAGGTTTTCAACCCAGCTCGCTGTCCCCTTATCTACCACACACTTCCTGTGCTTGCCCGTGAGGCTGTTATGGGAGACAGTGTGAAAAGCCTTGCTGAGGACAAGGTAGACAACACGCACTGCTCTCCCCTCATGTACCCAGCCGGCTGTTCTATCACAGGAGACTATCAGGTTAGTTGAGTATGATTTTCCCTTTGTGAACCCATGCTGATCCTGATCACCCTCTTATCTTTCACGTGCTTGGAAATGGTATCCAGCATGATGAGCCATTCCATCACCTTCCCAGAGGCAGAGGTGACCTAACTGCTCTGTAGTTCCCTGTGTCCTCTTTGTTGTTCCTTTTTGAAGATCAGAGTGACATTTCCAGGACCAGTGGTCTTGCAAATGCCAAGTTTGCCTGAACGATCTCTAACCTGATCTTTCTCCTCCACCAAAGGAAAGTCTGTCGTTCTTCAGAGCTTTTCCCTGGTGTCCAGGACCTGGAATTGCCAAGGGCTGGTCTTAGCAGTAAAGACTGAAGCAAAGAAGGCATTCAGTATCCCTGCCTTCTCTGTATGCTTCGTCACCAGGGCCAACCGGAGTTTAGGTGGAAGAAATGGGCATTGCATTTGCATATTAGCAGGCAAACTGATGTTTAGATATGTAAATTGAGTGCAGCTGCTTTGCTTTATCCCTGAAGAGATTTAATAAATAAGTTAATCTGCCTAAAGCATTATTCCTGGACAGCATCACACAGCTAAAACTGAGCTCTGGCTCGGTGTGGTCTGGAGAGCTGGTGCTCTCTTGCTTACTGTGCCCAAGCCAGCAGTCCCTAAGAAAGTGTGGCATTAGGGAAGAGGTGCCAAGTCGAAGGGCAGGGGGAGTGTGGGTGATGGGCCAGGCAATCATCCATGCTTGGGGTTACTGGTTTGTCCACAGGCTCCCTTGGTAATGCTGGCACTCCCTTTTGGCACCATCGGTTTTTTCTTCTGTGCTGAGATCAGTGAGAAAATGTTGCATAAAACTTCACCACAAGAACGTCTCCTTAATAAACCCCCACAGCTGATTTCTTGTGGCCCCGTGCTTCCTTGTTCAACGCCGGCTGCTTTCAGTTCCTCTCTGCTGGTTCATCTAGCGAGATCACCTCCTCTCCCTGGCCGTGCGTCTCAGTCAACCCATCGGGGGACACGCCAGCCTGCTCACTTGGTTTTTCTGCAGAGCTCTTTGCTCTGCTCCCCACAGCCCTTTGCAACGGTGTGGTCCTACAGGACTTCTCCAAATGCGAGGCCCCAAAGCCATCGCTGCTTGACCTGTGTGTGTGTACCAGCACCTGTGTGTGCTCCTCGAGACAATGACCGTCACTTACGTGCTTCAGCACTGAAGCTTTTCGCTGTATCATCATCCTGCCCCTGCAGGATTTGCACCGTGGATTTGCTCAGAGTTTTTCTCCTCCCCACCTTGTGAGCGCTTAGCCACTTCCCCATCCCACCCTATGGCTTACTCCAGTTGGACAGTGCTTTTGGTGCTTGCATATGAAGGCGAAACTGCTGGGAGTTATTCCCTGCAGCTGGGTCAGCCCTTGAAGTCCCTCCCTGCTCTTAGGGTCTTTGTTTGGAGGTTTTGCTTACCTTGGGCTGCCATGCCCATGGGGGATAGCAAACACCCACAACAGGCGATGCAAACAGCCTGGGAGCTCCTCTCCCACCACCCTGCAGGCAGCAGCTCTGTGGCGTTTGTGGGCCACGTGTGCTCCAGAGGCAGAACCAACCACCGTGGTGATGGTTCTTTGCTCAGCGCTTCCCTCACTGTCTCCAAGCTGAGGAGACACAGAGCACTCAGGCCCATCTGTGGGGTCCCGAAGTGCAGGGCAGTTGGTGATTGCCTTGGGACTGGCCATCGTCTTGCGCAGACAGGTTTCTGCTCGGAACTTCTCTTGCAAAGCTGCCTAGGGGTATCTTGAGAGGTTGCTTGCAAACAGGAGATGGGGGCCTGGGCATCAGTGTTGGTGGATAAACAAGCTCTGAAACATGCTGTAGTTTTATTTGCCTTACAAAGTTTGGTACATAATCACATGTAGCATTTCAGAGCTGAACCCCATATTCAGCCCCAACAAGCGAATGTGGTTTGGAGAGGCCAACGTGCATGCAACGTGTGTGCAAATCCCTGCCTGGTTCCAGGGCTGGCTGTCACTGCTGCGTCCCCGTCTCCCCTTCTGTGAACTGAAGCTGAAAGTGCATTAGCTTTTGTGAAGAACTCTCACATTCCTGGATGCAGAATGTTGCATAAGCTCTAATTATTAGGGATTTGTTATTCTAGAGACAACAAGAGACCCTTCAAACGCTTGGCACTTCAGGCGCCGAATTTGAGCAAATGTATCTCCAGTCAAAGTATCTGCAAATTGAGTATCACCATAATAGTATTTAAGGATCATTGGGGATGTTTGGAGTGTTGGACAAGTATTAATTAACAGGCCTCTCTGACTCATCCTAATGAGCAATTGCTCCAACGCTTTATCCAAACCTAGCACCCAGGGAGCAGTAGCCAGCTGCCACTGAGCACAGGGCCGTCGGCCTTCGCTGTCCCCCAGCAGGGACCTCAGAGTGAGAAAGAGCTGTCATCTCTGTGCAAGGCACCAAGGAGGGAATGATAAAGAGGTTGTTATGGTGTGTGCTATCTCCAGGTGGATCCAGACACTCTGTTTTCCTCCTCTTTGCCCCTTGTCTACGCAGAGCTTGGGCTGTTTCCAAGCCTAGTTGAATGTGTTCCTTGTGAACGTAGAGACCAGAGATGTCCCCAGGCTGGCAGGACATCTGAGCCAGTGGCCTTGTGCTGTCGGATGAGGAAGATGCCGGTGTTGTCTCCACCAGCGGTGAACTGGGCGGTGAAAAACCTCATGCAATTCAACAAGGCCAAGTGCAAGGTCCTGCACCTGGGGAGGAATAACCTCAGACACCAGTACAGGCTGGGGACCGACCTTCTGGAGAGCAGCTCTGCGGAGAAAGACCTGGGTGTCATGGTGGATGATAAGTTGGCCATGAGGCAGCAGTGTGCCCTTGTGGCCAAGAAGGCCAATGGAATCCTGGGGTGCATTAAGAAGAGCATCTCCAGCAGGTCGAGGGAGGTG